CACATTCATCCTCTATGACAGGAGTATTTGACAATTAGCCATATTCTTCTTAAAATGCCGTTTTCCTCTTACCTTCCTTAGCTCTGTCTAACTGTGGTTTTCGTCATCCTCCTGTAACATCAGACTATAGGATTGCCCCTGCAAGTCCCTAAGAATTCCCAGGAGTTATGTTGCCTCATCCCTTCTCCTGACACAGTACCACTGTGATCTGCCTCTCTCCTGCAGGCCTGTCTCATTTTGTCTGAGTTTGATACCATCTCATCTCTCCAGTATATCTTCAGATACTGTCAGTGCCGCTCTGAGCATGCCCTGTCTCAGTCTGTTCCTGAAGCATCAACTGTGGCAAGCCTGTTGGAGTAAAGCTCTGGGGCTCTAGATCCTGCATGATCTGCAGTGATGGTTTTTAGCATTATATGTATGTGTATGATTCAAAACCTGATCTCTGTGTAAGTTGAACAGGGTTTGGTTTTTTTTTTTTACCCGGAAGCCTCCAATTAAATATTTTTTACAGAAGTATGAATTTGTTTTAATTATTTTGTTTAAGAGAGTTCAAGAGATCCTGTTTTCCCAGAAGTACTGTTGAAAAAGTGAAGTGTAAGCATGAGGTGTTTGTTTCAAAAGTTTAGCAAGCTGTAGTAAAACGTGCCAAGTCTGTTTAGCTCCCAGATGGTCAGTAGCACGTCTGAAGAGAGTGTAGTTAGTTTTAGTACGTTAGGGGAGCTATGGGATTTCATATGCTGTGAAATAAAAATTGGCAAGTTCCATCAAATCTTCTACACTGAAGCCATCCCAGCTGTATCCAGTTCTCAATAATTTATTCCTTTTTATGGCATTGCAATAAAGAAGAGAAAATGATAATTAAGTTTTGGTTATAATTGTGTATTTTTTTTGTAGTGAGGTGTACTATTTTACTGAAATCACTGTGGGTAGATAAATTAAGTACTGTATCTCTATACGCACATAAATAGTAATTCAATACTTAAAAATATGATAGTCTCTTCTTCAAAATGCTTTATTCCTGGAATTTAGATGCTTAGTTACTTATATACAGATTAGGGTTTTACTTTTGCTGGAAATATTCATTTGATATTTCATAAAATACGTCCATTATCAATATTCTGTGACTTCTTTACTGCTACATTAGATACCTTTTTATAGTAATCCCAGACATCTAAAAATTAACGGGTCTACTTGTTGTAGGGCTATATTTTGCTTAAAATATTTTTGTTTATCCAAGAGATAATCGTATTTCATCTTAAATCATGTATCACTGAGGTTATTGATGTCTTCGTATGATACAAGCCTAAAGAACCCTACCAGATTTTCTGCTCCAACTCCTGTGTAAAGCGAGGGCAACTAGAATAAGTTGCTTAGGACATTGTCCATGTGGGTCGTGGATATCTCCAACAATGGAGTACGTTTAAACAGAATTTCTGATGCTTCATTTTGTGCTGTTGCTTCTTGTCCTCTCACTGGGCATGACTGAGAAGACTCTGGTTTCATCTTCTTTGGTCCCTACCCCCCCTTCCAAATTGGGTATTTTTACACTTCGATAAGATCTCCCTTGAGCCTTCCCTTCTCCAGGCTGCATAGTCCCATCTCCCTCAGCCTCTCCTTATATGACAGATGCTCCAAGCCCTTAATCTTCTTTGGGGCCCACTGCTGAACTCATTCCAGTGTGTCCATGTCCTTGTTTTGCTGGACAGCCCAGAACTGAACCCAGCTCTCCAAATGTGGTCTCACAGAGTTGAGGTAGATCACTTCTCTGCTGTTAAGGCAGCCCAGGATGCTGTTGGGCTTCTTTGCCACAAGGACATGTTGCTGGCTCATATTCAACTTCTTGTTCCCCAGAACCCACAAGTCTTTTATCTGCAAAGCTGCTTTCCAGTCAGTTGGCCCACAGCCAACTGTTGCTTGGGATTGATCCCCACTTTAATAAGTGCCAGAGGTTTCTGAAGAATGTTTATAGCATCACCAGTGGATGGATTTGCAATTTTTGAGTCTCGTTCTTGTTTCTGAGATGTTATTTTTGATACAAGTTATTTTAATTTTTTAAGTGCTAGGTTTCCTATCCCTTTTTCTGATTCTTATATGATTCAAATTCATGTTACTGTGCATCAACTGTGCCATAGCATGTTTTCTGAACATGTGTGCTGTCTTCCCATAGCAGGCATATGGGAAGAAGTTCAGGCAGACCTCGATGGAACAGCATTAAGCTGAAATTTGTTACTTTGCACTTGCCAGCTATGTCGTGGTAGTTTTTGCAGCTCAGCTGATGCATACGCGCTTGTTACAGGCTAGTCGCTCAACTGTGAGCTTATTTACTTGTTAAGAAAAGGAATGGGAATAGCAAATGGAATGCTCATTAAATTCATGTTAATTAAACCCAAAGCACAAAACATATTTATATTGAAGTTTTCCTTTTCAAAATTACTTCTTCCTCCATATAATGATAAAGGTCCTGTACTGTTCAGCTCAAAAAGATACTGACGGTAGAATGATCTGTTTCTCATGTATTTATTTTACAACACTACCCCTGTGCTAGCTCACTTCTTACTTCAGCCAAGGTTTATGGTTTTCATAAAACATTTACTGGAACACCGACTTTACAACTGTATCTTATATCCCCAGGCTACTTTTTCAGTAATGCGTTTGATATTTAATACAGTATATAATCTTTCCTTCAAAAGAATGAGGTAGAAAATTCTTTGATTAAAAGACTGTCTTTATTGAAAGGAATTTTTCTTAAGTTTACATTATTAGAGCAAGCAATATGGCTCAGTTTCTTTTAATAAGAACAGTGTCCTTAGTTTTTCCTGGAATGGCAATGGAAACATCTTTTTTCCTGATAATTTGTAAAAGAATAAAACAGCCATGTTTTATCAGACTTTCTTCTTAAGGAAATACATGCACTGCAAAGATTGATGTTTCACAGCAGCATGGATATATCCGCATGGTAAACTGGTAGGCAGCAATCAGTCTTTCGAGCAAGCAACTGCATGTACATGCAGCATGTACCTGCAGACAAGTCGTCCTTCTCCAGCCCTCTTCTGTAGTGTTCTCAGGCCTGGGAAGCAATTCCGGCATTCTGTCATTGCTTCTCTTGGATCACGCTTTCTGAGGCTCACAGGTGGAGCTGTGTAACTTGCTGTTCATACACACAACACAGATAGCACAGCATTTCTGTGAATGCGCAACCTCTTTTCCCTTGCCCGTCTTTATTCTGTTAGCAGACTGCTGGCAAATTGGCAGCAAACCCCAACAGGGTTTGGGTGAGTATTTGCCTATATTTGGTGCTCCCTTCAGAGGTAGTGTGTTCTTGCTACGAATTGTTATCCCATTCAGATTGACACTTCGAGCAGTGCTGTCCCCTCCACAGAAGTAAAAATGGAGATTCCTGAAATACAACTTTTATCTTACATCTTTCTATTTCCAAAATGCCAGTGTTGTTCCTTCCTTTCTGGTAACTGATGTCGTTACTGTGTTTGACCTGTTTTCCCAAATAGTCTGTTTCTAAGCTCCTTTGCTACACTCACAGTATTGCACCTCATTGCATGGGTCAGGACACCACCTAACTGAGCTGAGGACTTCCCTTACTCATATAAGTTTTATTGTGCTATGTCTGTGCTAGGCCTTGAACAAAACTATCATCTTCTACTCAAAAAGTAATCCTTGCTAACTAAATGACAGTTTAAGGCTTCTACTGACATATGTAGAAAATGTGGTGATGTTTCCTTTAGTGTGAACACCTGCCCGTTGGGAGTGAACTGGCGTGACAAATGCACAGCTGGTGGCTAAAATTTGAGGAAATGTGAAAATTTATTGAAACATCCCTTTATGTTTAATTTGAATGCTAAGCATACTTACCAGTCTCATTTACAAACTAATAATACCTGAATCATAATGAGAGTTTGACTTCAGTTCCATTGCTTTTCCAATCCATCCTTTATTCCAAATCTGTTCAGAACTTTCTGAAGGCTTCGTGTGACTGCTCTAGAAAACCTGGAGACGTAATACAAGCTGGAGGCCTGAAAAATGGGAAAGGGAAGCAGAAAGAAGAAGGGGGAGTAGGGGAAGATAAACTGTTTGCATATGAAGTGTGTGTGAAAATCAGTTTTATCGATAGTATATTAAAATTGCAGTGTGTATCTATCAAGTCACTTTTTTTCATACCTTTGCAGTGAAATTAATATAAAAATAGCAGTTTCTGTGCTGTTCTATAACTAAGGTGGATTCTGAAACAGATTCAGAGAACTTGTGGCACACCACGGACTCGTTAATCTGAGGCCACCTTTAGGGCTGAAAGACTACAAAACTGAAATTTTATGTGCTGTTACAGTTCTTCAGTATCGTTCAAAACCCTAGTATGCGTTTGGATGGGTTTTCCCTCTTTGTTCAAGAGAAAGACCTGCTTTTTGCTGGTTTATGGTCAACTCCGCTGTTTTCTTCGGTTTTCTAGGGAAGGGCAACATATGTATGAAGCTGCTGCATACCTTCCCAGAGTTGAGTGATTTCAGTGTAGCTATTTTCTTTCAACTTCCTTCTTGTATACCAAAGTTACAGTACAGAAATGCAGGAGGGCAACTCTTATGTTTCAGCCTTTTTAGGCTGAAAATAAATTTTAAGTGATGACTGTAGCAAGGCATGTTGGGTTCCAATTATATTTCTTTATGCCTGACTAAGGCTGTTTTTGACAGTGAGAGGAATTAGATTTGGTTCAAGATTTCTGGTTTTAAGTCATTGCTTTGCCATAGGTTTCCTATGTTGACTTGTAAATTCATCTGAGGAGAGTTGTGCAGTAGTACTTAGCATCCATTTGGTCAGAAGAACAAATAGCCAGTTCCTGAAAACAGTTCAGCATGTCTTACAGGGAAGTAGTTAGAAAAATCATTAATACTAATGAGTTGCCATGGCACTTTATGTAGGAAAATGCCAGTATATAAATAGAAATATCTAGTATCTTTAAATGTAGTGAGACTGTAATATTGTTTTAACTGCAGGTACCGAGAGGCTATTCACAAGTGGGATGAAGCGCTTCAATTAACTCCAGAGGATGCTACGCTTTATGAGATGAAATCACAGGTAAAGCATGACAATTCTTTATCAGTTTAGAAATTAAAAAAATGAAGTATTGTGCTTGTAAATAGATACTGTGCAACATCATGTGGTTGTTGTGTGCATGAACTGCAGCACAACTTAGGCTTTTCATTTTTCCCAACACAACAGGCTGTCTTTTAACAGGAATTAAAATAATGCTGTTATCCCAAACAATCACAATTAAAAATGTCTTTGTTAGGACATGAATTAGGAAGTTACAGTGTAGAAGAAGAAACTGAAATACTTAAAATTTGTATTGGGAGCAGGGAGATCCTTATTGTGATAGACTAGCAAATTTGACTATTAGAAGTCTGCCTGCACTTTCTAAAGAGTCTTGGAAAAGAGCATTAAACAGAGTATACTTATGATGTCAGTTCATCTAAGCCTTTATTTTAAAGTTGTTCTGAGGAAAAAGGCTTGCAGCCATCAATGCCTCACTAAAGTTATGAGATCAGCTTCAGCTTGCAATTTCAGTGTGTTGTTGCGTGGCTTAGATGGCAAAAGTGCCAGGATCCATTATTTTGTTTGGATTGGGAAGCTTTTGTCTCTGTCTGCATGCAAAGATAGAATTTTTTTTTTTTGTATTAAATAAAAATGCTCTTCTGCAAAAATTACTTTCATTTAGGTTGAGGATGAGAGCAGGACATGTATGGCTTCTTCTAACCAGCTGGATAGATCGGAATGGGAAAACTTATTTTTAGGAAGGTAGCTACTGAAAATACAGCTGAAAAATACATCATTTAAAGTTAAGAGAAAGGAAAGAGAAAGTAAAATTGTGGTACTTCAGTGAATACGTTATGTAACTTTTAGGAAGCTTGCTGTATTGTTTTGTTTAAAACTCTTAGTTGTTACTATCATTCTTTTCTTGTATAAAAAATAAACCACACCACCCCCCCCCAAAAAACCCCAAAACAACAGAAAGAACAAATGCCAAAAAACCCCCAACAAAACCCAAGAAGCAAAGTTGGCTATTTTCCAAGGTGTGGTGACTGCTCTTTTTCCTGGATGTTGTCACATCTCCTCCTCACAGTCATGTTGTCTGTGAAGTGAAGAAGGTTTGATTCTGCAAAATGATTAATTGAATAATCATAAGCTCACTTCAATATAGTAATGCTGAAGGAGGCTTTCATTTTATATAGCTGCAGAAGGTTTAGATATTACTTGGTTTGAGAAATACTTTATGGCTTTAATGACTTTTCTTCCTGAATTATTTTGGGAGAAGTGTATTGTTGGATTGCTTTGTCAACATATCATACGTATATAAGGGATCCAGATAGACTGTATTAGGAAAAACCCAGGGAGGGGCGTGTATGAAGGGTTGATTTCTGACTTGGTTCATTAATTTGAATGGTGTTGGTAATAAGATGATGCAGTAACAGTTTTTACCTTAAATAACTGAATTTTTCTAGTGCAATTCTCTCATTCTATATCCTACATGATGCTGAAAAGTGGGTATTTGTTCTCCCCTGTTTCTCACAAGGCTAGGTTTGTAGTCAATTATTTCTTTGTAACTTCTAAAACAGGGGACATATATTCCTTTAGAAAAAAAAAAATCTTTTCATGCATGTTGCTCAAACGTTATGGAAATTCTGCATTGGTACTTTCTCTTAATCTTGGGCATGCTCAGGATCAGATCTGTATGTTATTTAGTAAGCATATTAGCATTTAGAGATCTCCTATATGATTTAGGTGCTTGACTCCTACATACTTCTCATGTTCTATGATAACAAAGCATCTTAAACATGTAAACCTCTGTTGACTCTTTACTTGTATTTGGATGCCTTTACATCAGTGCTGGCTTAAATGAAAGATCTGTCTAGCCTGGTATCCTGCCAACTTCCTATAGCAGATGGCTGGGAAAGAG